AGATGCAGGTATTGGTGAGTCGGATCGCAACTTGGATGGCCACTTACCTGAATGACCACCTAGAGCCTTGGATCCAGGAGAACGGCGGCTGGGTAAGAACCAAGCCCCTTGAGTGTCCCCTTTTTTTGGCCTCTGGTCAGAGAGATCCCCAACAGCCCTTCCTTGTATCTGTTGTGTTGGGTGATTGTTGGAGGTGTTGATTCTTCAGGAGACCTGACTGGCCTCATTTCACCACAAGAGGTCAACTGTTTGGAAATAAAGATGACCTAGTTCTTGAAGGACCAGGCATATTTCACTCTGGTCACCCTCATGACTCCACTCTTTCATATTTGTGTTCCAATTTCTCAGCAAAGAAAAATCTAGCCGATGTGTTCATTTGGCCCAAAACCTGTGTGAGTGGGAAGTTAGCTCAATTTTCCCTTTACCCTAACACAGTCATTACCCATGTAAAAGGGTGATGAGTATCATACCTGGAGATGATGATGAGCATTATAACCCACAGGCCCCTGCATCCTTTTTCCCCCAGAGGTGTCAGTCCTATCCAGAGCTTCTCTCCCCCAAATCAGGTTCTCTTTATTTTGGAGTTTGCATGTATGGTGTTTTCCTCTCAGACCAGACGGGGCATGGCTGGGCAGGGGTTCCCCTGGCTTGGATGGGTAAGATTGTCAGATTTTAGGGCAGTGCAGGCTGTGTAGGTTGTGTTAGTGCTGTGCACCCTAAGTTCATTTTCCCCAAAGTGTGCAACTTTCTGCATGGATGGCTTGTTTGTGGAGCTCTTGCTGTGTCACGCATTAAGCTTGGGGACTTTGCACCTCACTGCCTGGGTCGGTTGGGGAGCTCCAGCTGCTCTGCCTGTTACTTTCCGGCCAGGGCCCTGGGGCCTCTTCACTGAGCATTGTTTGCTGGCAAAGCAAGAACCTGGTCTGTGGGGCTCTGAGGGACATTAAGATTTGATGACAGACTTTGGACAAAGGTGTAAGTGCCAGCTCTGTCACTCAACTAGCTTTGTGATCTTGGACAGGCCAATTTACCTTCTTGAGTCTTAGTTTGTTCCACTAAAAATATGTGGCAAGCTTTCCTTGCCTTACAGGGTATTGTAAATCTTGGAGATAATATGAGCACAGTGACTGACACTAGCAAGTTTCTTTTCCAGGGAGGGAAATTTTTCTTGCCCATCATGGAGTCAGGGTGAAATATTGGTGAGAGCTGCTTTACCAGTGGTCACTATAGGCAATTTTTTTGCTCTTCAGTGAACTCAGTTGTATTTCCTTGCTTATCTCCTTGCCCCAGGAAGATGCTGGACTTTCGAGAGGTATTCTGTTCTCTTAGAATATGCAGAAAATCAACAGAGTGCAAAATAAGTCATCTATTGAAGGAGCTGTGGTGGAAGGAGCCATGTACCGTGCATTCAGGAATGTCAGGAATGCAATTGTCGCTAGGCTGGGCCTAGGGTGTGGCAGGCACTTCACTTTACCACAGAGCAAGATACTCCTGAGTTTGCCGGGGAACCCCACCCTCTAATTTCCCATTTCCTTGCAACTTTATCAACTCTTCCTTGCCTAAAAGGCAAGGAGGTCAAGTCAGTAGAGGTTGGATGACAGGGGTGGGTTTGGGACTGGTAAAGGTGGTAGGCTTTCTTGAGCTAAGACTGACCAGACTTGAAAACCATTCTGTAGATGAACTCCCTGGGGAGATAAATTATTCAATAGTTCCTGTGGGTTGGTGCAGTGACCTCTCCTATTCCCTCCTGCTTTGATTCTCTTTTGGGGCAAATAGTTGTTCAGCTGATTACAGGAGGGACAGGATTCCAGTGCTTCAGACATACCATCTGAGGTATCTCCAAGTAAGTACTTGGGCTGCTTGCCCACTTTGCCTGACTGTTGTCTTTGGCTGGTGGTCCTAATACCAGGTGGGTTGTTGCCAGCTGTAAACAAAAGGCAGTCTAGGGGAGGGACCTGGTCTGCCAAGGTTCCTGCAGAGACTCTGCAGAGGGCTACCCCAACTAGAGAATTGCCAGCTGCCCAGGGTAGCCTGTGAAAGAGATCTTAGATACAGCAGCTCTGGGCAAGTTCATTAGATCTCCATGGGACTGAAATTTCATCTTCCACCTCTTTGCTTAAGAATTATCAGAGCCCGTTGGACAACATACCACATGTCACTTCCTCTTGGTGAACAGAGGGAATGTGTGCAGAAGAGCCAGTTATGTCAGAACCATTTCTGGGCATGCATTCTCCTCCTGAGGCCAGGGGGTAAAGAACATTTGACTCAGGATCCTTTGAGTCAGGGTACTAGTATCTGCCCACTTCCCTCTTAGGTGCCATCCTGTTCAAACCTGCACATACTGACTACTGCAGTGGCATCTCATAACCTTCCTGGAGGCTGCAGCTGGGAGATCCTTGATTATAGGAGTTATGGGCCATTCTACCCAGGGATATGCTCTAAATTTAGCATCCCTAAAGGAAAGAGGAAGGAAATTAGCCTTTATTGAGTACCTCTTAAGCATTAGGCATTGTGTTAGGTCTTTTACTTAGGCAGGCAATATTTACTGAGCATCTACTATGAGGCAGGCAGTGTGCTAGGTGCTGGCCATAAGCCAGACATAGTACCTTCCTGTATGGAAATTACGTGGTATTTCATATATGCCACACACTAACCTTCCAATATAGGTGAGTTTATTCCCAGTTTACACATGAAGCTTCTAGTGGCTAAGTTACCCTAGGTATCCCTTAGCCAGTTAAGTGTCTGAATGAGAACTTACACTGACATTGGCCTAACTCTAAAACCTAAACACTTTCCATTCATATTAGGTTATCTAGGGAGTAATAAAGTGACCCAGACAGACTGGAACTGGAAGCCAGATATGCTGCTGCCCCAAGCAAAATATGCCTGTGAAGATGCTCCCTCTGGGTTGTGCTCCTGGCATTGTTCAGGTAGCTGTGGGAAGGATAGTGCCTTTGTCAGGAGTAACAGGTTCCCAAAAGCATGTGAGTAGCCTCAGATTCTGGCACTGGTAAAACTCTGACATGGCAGGTGTCAAAGTTTTGCCCAGAGTGGACTTCTTGTTAGTTTTTTCATTGTTAAAACCCTCTCTGTCCTCTGGCATCATTCCTTTAGCCCCATTAAAAAAAAATAAAATAAAAAGAAAGAAAAAATTATAATTAATAAAATTAAAAAAAAAAAACTCTCTCTGGCCCTGCTAATAGATGATAGTAGTGTGTGTATCGGGAGAAGGTGTCCTGCCCCAGGTATTTCTACTTAATCATGGATTGATGCTTTAAGGACTGGAATTCCAGACTCTTAGCCATACTGTTTCTTGCCTGGAATCACCTGATGAAATGCTGACCCTGTTCTGGTCTCTCTTGTCCATCTGTCTCTCCCACCTGTAAAGTGGAATAATGATAGCCAGCCGCCATAGCTTGACTCATAAATGATCTAGAACAAAAGCCCTTCCCCTACCTTAATTGTAGGGTGGAAGTACTTCTTTTAATGAATGGGCTTCCTCCCTCAGGGAACTGACTTTGACCTCTGGAGTTATTTCTTAAGAATCAAAGCTAGTCCCTGAGATATTTACCTAGAATATTGTATACGTGACCTTCCCTGAAGGGACAGAATTGTTTCTGGTGCTTTCCAATGGGAATATGGGCAAGGACCCAGGTGGGCCAGGCCACTTTGAGATAGCCGTCCCTGAAGAAACCCTTTAGTCTAATGGAAACATCATTGTCAAGAGAAGTGAACAGTGCATGTGGCAAGAAAACATAAAAACATAACTTCACTGGGCATGGTGGCTCATACCTGTAATCCCAGCACTTTGGGAAGCCTAGGCAAGAGGATCGCTTGAGGCCAGGAGTTTGAGACCAGCCTGCATAACTTAATGAGACCCTGTCTCCTTAAAAAAAAAACCCAAAACTCCCATAACTTGGCCTTTCTCAGGCTGTGTGTCTTCTGTAGGTCTCTTGCCTATTTTGGCTTCTTCAGCATGTATGCTTAGATGTATGCTTCAGGATATTTGCTTAGTGGAAGCACCTCAGCTCCCTTGGCAGATGTTGGCAGTTCTGCGGTTTTCTTGGGGAAATCCCATTAGAAACCCCAAATGTGGAAATTTTTAGTAATCTCATTCAGGGCCCAAAATGAGGTATAAGTATCTCAGGGGCTCCCCCCTGGAACACCTACTTCTTCTTGGTGTACATTTTAGGTTGCTTTTAAAACTCTGATACCATCACAGGGTTTTCCAGACTTCCTAGGAATAATTTCCCCAGTAGCCCCATGGAGCCCTTTATCATCTGGTTGAAAATTACCCAGATATTTTTTAGGTGGCCCCTAAAAAATTTTCTCAGAATAACCAGTTCAGAACCAGGGCAGTCACACAAAAGTCAAGTTTGGGGTGCATAAAGCAGAAATTCTTAGCTGTCCCTTCCCTCAGCAATATCTGTTCTGAGGCCAGTGGGCTGCAGTGTCCTCTGTGCCTGACCTTCTTGGCTTCTCCAGTGCCCTCAGCCTTCCATCATGAGGCTTGCTTTCAGCAGTTGTGGTTCCGCCTGGATTTAGTGTGGATAGATACAGGGGTAATTCCCAGTGCACTGTTCTTCTTTCTACAGACACATAATCTCCTACCACCTTGATTAAGCAGAGCCCTGTCCCCACCCTCAAACTCCAACCTCATTCCACAGTGTCCTCCCTAAGGACTGCCTCCCTTTTCTTTGAAAGAGTCACTCTGCTCCTGGATCCTCCCTCTTCTGTCCCTCCAGCTGATAGTCTGTCTTCCCTATTCCCAGTTGTCAGAACTGAGTTAGACAGTCCCACTGGGTCTTTTTGTTTAGCCTGGGGAAGAGAAGACCCAGGAGAATGTGATCACCAGCTTCAAATATCTAAAGAAAGAAGGACTGAGCCTTTTTATTGGTATGGTACCTAGCAAAACTTAGATAAATAAAAAGAAGTTCACAGTTGGTAGAGCTTAAATTAGTGCAGAGAAGACATTTCTAACAGATTCGCTCTTTCTCGGTTTTAGGAGCTCCTGAAGGTGGAGTACATATCTTGTCCATGCTTGTTTCCTCAGCACTGAGCAGATGTCTTGAGCATAGCAGATACCTAATGAGAAATACGCACTAAATTTCTGAAGAAACCTGACCCTCATCCCAGAATAACAATATTGGAAGTGGCCCTTCACCTAATCATTTATTCATTGATTTAAGCAATATTTATTGAGCTCCTACAGTGTGCCAGGGTATACTAGACACTGGGAGTACAACAGTAAACAAACTAAGTTTCTGTCCTCAGGGAGCTCACATTCTATTGGGGAGGGACAGACAGTAAATATATAATTACACATACATATCAGGTGATGGTATGTGCAATAAAGAAAATAAAACAAGCTGGGGCTTAGGGCATTGCCTAGCAAGGGAGGGTGGGGCTGCAGTTTTAAAAGAGTGATCAAAGAAGATGTAGGGGAACAGAAAATGGCTTCCCGTTGCCCTTCTAGATTCTTTGCCTGGGCTATGAATTAAGTTGACATAAGACAAATTAACAGGACAAAAAAACTATTTTAATCCCACAAAATATGAGACTCGAGGAATAGTCATATGACTGAAGCTTATATAGCATCTTGACTTACAGAAAGGAATAGGGCTTGTGGCTTCTAGGAGGTGGTGCCTATACAAGTTATGGGCTGTGGTATATTGTTATACAGATAAAAAAATCTCTCAGGTATTAAAATTTGACTAGAGCAGCCCCCTTCCTTATACAGATACTTTTACTAATCTAGATTTCCTTATAGGTGTGAATTTCTTTGACAAAGGGACAGATTTTCAGAGCTAGTCCTGTGTCTGCAGTTTCTCAGAATAACCAGCTCAGAATATGCCAAAGAAGTATATTTTAGGGGTGGTATATTCTGATCTCCTACAGTCATATTTGGCAGTGATATGTCCTGAGCCCCAGCAAAGGTATTATCTAAAACTAATTTTTTTATATTTGAGCCAAGACCTGAAGGAGATGAGGTGTTGGATGATGTAGGTACCTAAGAAAAGAGTGTTTCAAGCAAAGAGAATGGACTCAGGAGAGAGTGTGTTTGGCATTTTCAGGGGTGAAAGAAGAAAGGAGCAAGAAGGTCAATGTGGTTGGAAAAGAAACAGCAAAGGGAAGATGAGTGGAGAGAATGAGTGGTAGGAGATGAGGGGAGAGAATATTGTGGAAGAGCAGGGAAAGGAGCTGGGGGCCAGATGACATAGGGTGTTACAGGCCATGGTTAGGACTTTGGTGAAATGAGAGGAGAGAGGCCAAGAGGAGGTTTGGAGCAGAGGTGGTGTGTCTGAATTCTACAAGGTGGCAGTAGGGAGCCCAGTGAAGAGGCTGGTACAACTGCCAGGTGAAAAAGAATAGTGGCTTAGACCTGGAGGTGAAGGTGGTGAGAGGGGACTAAGGCATAAGACCAGTCTTGCATATGGTGTATTGATAGGTCCAGCCATCCTGGAAGTGATATTTTTCAACCACTTGGAGGTCCTAAAATCAGAGCTAAGTAAGCTAGATGTTCTTTAGGAATAGCTCTCTCCAAATGTGGTATCCTGATGAATGATCCTACTCTATTCTAGGAATATGTCTGTCTGAATAACTGAAACTTGTTTGGGTCCATGTCCTAGCTCACCCGTGTTTAGTTGTGTGATGCTGGGCAAGCTCTTTTCACTTCTCTGAACCTTGGGGCAAATAATAATACCTGCCTCACAGGATGGTGGTGAAGACCAATGATGCATGCCTAAGGTGCATAGAGTCTGACACCATTTGGTATTATATTTCTTATTTACCACATATCAGAGACCCATTCACAGAATCTTGAGTGTACACTCTCCTTTTTCTAGACTCCATAGTGACCCACCAGCAAGCACATCCTCTGGGCAGGCCCTAGGGGAGGCGTTCCTGTGGTGGTGGGAGCTCCATAGCGTTCATGTGCTCTCGTGGTACAAGCACTCATCTTGGTGTTGGGATCCCAGTTCTACTCTCAGTCTGCTCCTAGTTTACTGTTTCACCTTGGCCAAATCACTTCACCTCTAGGCCCAGTTTCTTCTTCTGCAAGATGGAGGGTTTGACGTAGACAATCTATGAATTCTGGTTTTCTTTCACTGGCCTCATGCCTTTTGGCAGATTCCACCATTATGTAATATTTCACATTAGTTATGTTTTAGATGGCTCTTTCCTGTTGACAGATGTAGCAACTTAACTAACCCCAGCGTCACCGTAGGGGAGTTTATCACTGACCCCACAATAATAATACTCCGCATTTATGTAGCATATTATATCTTCCAAAGCACTTGTGTATATCTGCTTTGCCTGTTTGATCCTTAGAGACGCGCAGGAAAGATGCCTTCTCCGTTTCACAGGAGCTAAATCAGGTTAGAAAGATGAAGTGACTTGCCCAAGGTTACATCAGGAGTAAGAGGCAAGGCTTGGACTTTCAAAATCTGAACTTGACTTCTAGCTTGCTGTGTGACCTTGGGCAAGTCTTTTAACTTGTAAATGGCTATACTAATAGTTGCTTGTTCTGAAGATACTGTAAATGAATTCATGCCTTAAGGCTTTCAGAATCGTGACTGTTTCTATCTGCAGCACCTTTATTGTCCCAGGGTTCCTTCTGTCATCATTTGGCCTCCCTTTTATTACATATCGATTTTTGTAAATAGTGTTTTTGTATAAAGAAACTGCCTTTGGGACCTTCTGCTACTTGGTTTCATCCCTGATGAGACTCTGAGGCTAAACTGGAGCCTCACTGCAAGCTCTGAGCCACAGGGCTTTTTGGGCAGTCTCCAGTGCTCCCCTCGGAACTAGAGGTTTTTCTCCTGCTCTTCAGGAAATGCCATTGCTATGACTTCCACAGACTGTTTCCTGTCCCAGCCCTGCAGCCTGCCGGCAAGAGTCCCAACCTTGTTGGCAAGAGTGTGGAAACTGGAAAGTAATGTCCCTAGAGGCGCCCCCCTCCCCCAAACTACTTTTTTTGGACATGTCCCTCCCTTTCCTTTTGTCAATTACTTTCTTTGCTCCCCTCCCTTCCCCCTTCACCTAGCTTCACTCTCCAGCCTGTGGTTCCTTTAAGATTTAGAAGATTTCCAGTCCAAGTTTGAAGGCCTGAGGAAAAGAAAGAAATAAAGATTTAGAAAATGCCTTTCTGCTTAGTTCTACCAGGCCATTTCTCCCTAACCCATGCTAAGCTATAGGGAGTCAGTGCTCCTGGGTTCTCTCCTTATCTTCATCACTTAGGAGCAGTTTCTGTCATGGACTTGCCTTAGAGGGGCATTAGACCTGCCACTGTAAAACCCTGTTCCATCCATTAACCCTGAGCACACCCAGGGGATCCCCACCCCAGCTCTGCTTAGGATGGGATTCCTAAGGGAGATCTCAGAGGTTTGGCACATATAAATTCTGCCTCTTGGAGATTGACTATACAGGGTGGAGTGAAACTGAGCCTGCCGCCCTTCCCCCCATCACCTTTCAGGAGGAAGCTAAAAGGTTGAAAACCTTGTTGGACAATCATCTGAGGAATGGGAGCTGGCCTGGGAGGGGATTGGAACGCACTCAACTATGCCTCAGATCCTTTGTTCCGCTCTTGAAAGGGAAACATTCCTCTCCCTCCTCCCTGGCCACACACACACATACACACGTGCCTTTGTTCCCCCAGAGGAGTCAGGCAGGGCCAGGAACACAGTGTCCCTTCCAAAGAGCCTGACTCTACTCCCTAGAGGCTGGCTCCCTGGTCAGTGGGCCTGGGATTTTTGCTCAGGAGCCTTGTGTCCTTTCCATGGAAGAGTCTCATGGAGGCTGAAAACTTGCCTACAAACAGCTGCCCAGGGACTTCTCTGTAATTCATGTGATGCGCATGTCCCAGGATTAAACAGTCCCTCCCTTTTATTCCACTTGGTGATTAATATTATTGTTAACATTACTATTAATAGCACCCAACATGTATTGAGTGCTTACTCTATGCCAGGCATTGTTCAAAGTGCTTTACACATATTAATTGATTCCATTCTCACAGCAACACTCTAAAGTAGGTACTATTATTATCCCCATTTGATAAATGAAGAACAGAGAAGTTAAGCAACTTACTGCAAGGTAGCACAATTAGTAAGTGGCAAAGCCTGGGAGGATAGCTTCCAAGCCCCCCTTTTAAACACTGTGCTGTGTTCCCTCCGCCAGTTCACCATTGTCTGGATGATTTTTGGCATCTATCTATGCTCACTATGTGGCAGACCTTTAGTGACATCATCTGTGTGTTGCTATCCCAGCAACCTTATCATTATAGGACACTGAGATTTGGGAGGGCTCACAGCAGAAGGCAAGAGTCAGGATTTGAAACCAGGTCAGTCTTACTCTAAAGCTGTGCTCTTTATCTCTATTCCTTAAAAATCCTACAAGATGGGTGGTGGTATCTATGTTTTATGGCTGAGAAAAATGAGACTCACAGAAAAGTGATATGCCTATAGCCTCACAGGCTAGTGCCAAGAAGAGCTGGGATTCAAACCTAGAGTGTATGGCTTCAAAACACTCTACTGCCTTATTAGTCTGTAGCATAATAATTTCTTTTATGTACATGATAGTACTTTATAATTTACCAAACTCCTTTATAAAGGTTATTTCCCAGTGAAATAGGTGAGGTACATTCAGCCCAATTTCCAGGGAGGAAATTAAGGCAAGGTGGCTTAACCCATAGTAAATGGCAGCATCAGACTTAGAATCCATGTTTTGGCTTTTCACACAGTATTATCAATGCTACCTGCCTCCCCTAAGCCTGGATTTATGGCTCAGAGCTCTCCTCAGAGTTTTGTTTCTTTTGTTAAATCAGAAAATACCACCAAATGCCTTATATGTGCTAAGTGCTGGGGATTCTATGGATATTGTGGTAAGTAGGACTGAGTCCCATCTGTCAGTGGTCTGTTTCCATGCTCCATACCTTGGGCCTTGTTGGGGTCCCTCTGCCATCTGAATCATTTTAGGTACATCACCCATCTGTCCCCTCAGCTCCCATACTCACCAGGCAAGGTTCATTTTAGCGTGTATTAATTACCTTCAACAGGCCAGGTGCAGTGGCTCACGCCTGTAATCCTAGCACTCTGGGAGGCCGAGGCGGGCAGATTGCTCGAGGTCAGGAGTTCGAAACCAGCCTGAGCAAGAGCGAGACCCCGTCTCTACCATATAGAAAGAAATTAATTGGCCAACTGATATATATAGAAAAAATTAGCCAGGCATGGTGGTGCGTGCCTGTAGTCCCAGCTACTCGGGAGGCTGAGGCAGTAGGATCGCTTGAGCCCAGGAGTTAGAGGTTGCTGTGAGCTAGGCTGACACCATGGCACTCACTCTAGCCTGGACAACAAAGTGAGACTCTGTCTCAAAAAAAAAAAAAAAAAAAAATCACCTTCAACACACACACAGACGAAACTCTGAACTCACATTTGAAACAGCTCGACTCCTTGCTGGTGACATAGCACTAGGCAAATCAGCTTCAAATTCTCATCCAAAAACCTGAGAGAATAATGCCAACCTACCAGAGTAAGTGAGGCGTGAATGAGAAAGCAAAATGCAGAAGTATTTTTTAGTAATAGTAACAGGTACTCTGTGTTGAGTACTTGCTTGCTCTATGCCAGGTGCTGTGTTAATGCCCTTGTATAATCATCTTACTTGGTCCTTACAACTGCTCTGGTGTGAAGATGGAGAACCCAGGGGTCAGAGAGGCTCCATAATACGTCCACAGTAACACATCTTATAAGAAACAGAGCTCAGGCCGGGCGCTGTGGCTCACGCCTGTAATCCTAGCTCTTGGGAGGCCGAGGCGGGCGGATTGCTCAAGGTCAGGAGTTCAAAAACCAGCCTGAGCAAGAGCGAGACCCCGTCTCTACTATAAATAGAAAGAAATTAATTGGCCAACTGATATATATATATAAAAAAAATTAGCCGGGCATGGTGGCGCATGCCTGTAGTCCCAGCTACTCGGGAAGCTGAGGCAGAAGGATCACTCAAGCCCAGGAGTTTGAGGTTGCTGTGAGCTAGGCTGATGCCACGGCACTCACTCTAGCCTGGACAACAAAGTGAGACTCTGTCTCAAAAAAAAAAAAAAAAAAAAGAAACAGAGCTCAGTCTTCAACTCAGATGTGTCTGGTGTGAAAGCCTATCCTCAAGCCACTGTATCATTGCTTCTTTTGCAAACCCAGACTGCCTTATTTTATCCTGACTACCTGGCACAGGGCCTGGGGTTGTACAAGGGCCCAGCCAGGGTCTGCTCAATGAACATCAAGGGTGGTTGTTATTAGATGCAAGTTAGACTACCAAAAAATGTGTCTGCCCCTAAAAAAGCAGACTCATTTGAAGTAGTAAGAATAGACTGGAATGAAATACTCGGTGAATGGCTTGAGGCAAACGGTGCCAAATCTGTGGTATAGACATCAAAAGCAGAAGAGGTTAGACCCACTGGCTGCATCCCACAGGTGCCCCGTGCCTCTGCCACCATCAGCTTCCCAACTGATTACTTGGCCCAGAAGTCTCCACCCTCAGCCTGCTTCATTAGCTTTCTCCTTTTCCCTAGCCAATTGCATTGCATCCAGACCCTCTGTACCAACAGTGGAAAGGGTCAGAAAGGGGAGAGGTCACTGGGGGCTGGAATAATCATAGCTTTCTCAGCATTGTGGCTTTGTATAATTCACACAGAGGCTTCAGTTTCCTCGTATGTAAAATAAAGATAATGATAACTTCTTTATGAAGATAATAGTAATCTCTTCCTCATAGGCTTGCTGTTTTTCCTCTGTCTGGATCACTCATCTTGTAGATCTGATCCGAGTTCTCTTATCATTCAGGTCTCAACTCAAATACCTCCTCAGAGGGTAAACTCATGTTTACATGTTTACCGTCTGTCTTCTCTAGTAAAACATAAACTCCTGAAGCTCCTAGAGTGTGGGGACTTTATCTTGGTTTTTCTTTCATCTCCAGCATCTAGCAGAGTGCTTGGCACATAGGAGACGCTCAGCAAATATTTGTTGAATGAATAACTGTGTAGACCACCTGGCACAGTACCTGACATACACTATGCTCAGTCAGTGTTAGGCATCGTTACCTATTGGGAGGATGTAGACCATGAAGCCTTTCTTTTAAAAAATATGGCAAGTATAGGCTATATGAGTAAGAACCACCCAGACAGATCTGGAGGGTGGGATATGAGTATGAAGCATTTGGGAGATGGTGAGGAGTCAAACTGGCTGGAGCCAAAGAGGGTCTGCATTGGCAATAAAGGTGGTCAGGGAAAAGGGAGCAGGTGACTGATGACAGAGGCTTCTGGGTAGAGGGATGAGGATGGCTAATGGTAGAGATGTACTCAATGAGGAGAGACCCAGAGCACCTGTGGGATGCAGTCAAGTCTCCAGTAACCTCCGAGAAAAAGAATCCCAACCCAGGGCTCAGCAGACAGAACTACAGGGAGAGAAGCCAGAGGCACCTGCAACCTACAGATCAGGTAAGCTGCCCTGGTTGTTATTTTGGGGCTCAGGACCAGGTGCAGATTGAAAGGATTGATTGAAGCCTTTTGGCAACTCTTCCCTCAGCAGGGTAAACATCACCTGTCTCCTACCACCTGCAGTGACAATGCCAGGAAGGTACCCTGGGCAGGTCCCAAGGGGCCCAGCTTTCTTGCTGCCCTGGTGGAGCGAGAAATACTCTCCAGGAGAGGCCACTCCGTCCCTGCCCCATAGCTCCCTCTCTGAAGGGTTCAGGTGGCAATAAGGTACCTTCTGTCCAAAAGGCCCCAGTGGTTCTGGACCAAGGAAGGCAGGGGTGGGGCATTGGGAGCCGTTGACATCTGGGCTCAGCTGGGGGGAGGGGTCATTTGGAGCAGGTGCAGATTTCGGGGAGGGTGGGGCATGAAGAGAAGTAGGGATCTTGGTAGGCTGCAAAATTTCCCTCCCCATCCCCCATCCCCAGCTGGCTTCTCTAGGAACCTGATGACCTAGTTACAATGCTTAGAAATTGTCAGCTTAGCTTGCAGTTCAGGGCTGTGTCAGCCTTTCCTCTCTCTGAGGCTTCTTGGGTCCAAAAGGTGCCTTGGTATTTCCCCAAGGGGGTTCCATGCTAAGGATGTGCACCGTATCACATGTACAGGCTTCTTAACCAAGGGAGGAAGGAGCCAATAAGGTTTCTTCCTTCTTCCCTGGTGTGCCCCCACCAGCCCCTGGGAGAAGTGACTCCCCTTCCCTTTTCTGTTTCTCTTTAGTGGGTTGGTGAGTGGCAAAAGGAAGTCACAGACTTCTTCAAGAGGGAGTTGCCCTAGGGATAGCTTGAGTATACCTAACCATTCTATCCTTACCTCCATCTTAGTGTGGTGTTAAAACATGATGGGCCAGGCATGGTGGCTCACGCCTGTAATCCTAGCACTCTGGGAGGCCGAGGCCGGTGGATTGCTCGAGGTCAGGAGTTCGAAACCAGCCTGAGCAAGAGCGAGACCCCGTCTCTACTATAAAATAGAAAGAAATTAATTGGCTAACTACTATATATAGAAAAAATTAACCGGGCATGGTGGCACATGCCTGTAGTCCCAGCTACTCAGGAGGCTGAGGCAGTAGGATCTCTTGAGCCCAGGAGTTAGAGGTTGCTATGAGCTAGGCTGACACCACGGCACTCACTCTAGCCTGGGCAACAGAGCGAGACTGTCTCAAAAAAAAAAAAAATGATGGAAAGGGGTGAGGAAGACTGTGCTGGGAGCTCAGGAGGCTCCAGTCTTCCCAGGCGGTAGCTCCTTCTCTGGTAGTCCTGATGTCTGCCTTCCCAGTGCCTCCTTGGGAAATTTCTTCACTGTTAAGAGTCAGGTCCATCATTTGACAAACAAATGTTGAATCCCACTTGCTCAGTAGTTATTCCTCACAAATTATTTAATCTCTCCCAGCCTTGGTTTCCTCATCAGTAAAATAGGAATAACAACGTATAGGGCTTTTCTCAAAACACTCTTTTTTTTTGAGATAGGATCTTACACTGGGCTAGAGTACAAGTGCAGTAGTGTCATCATAGCTCACTGCAAACTCGAACTCCTGAGGCCTCCTGCCTCAGCCTCCCAAGTAGCTGGGACTATAGATATGCACCACTGAGGCTGGCTAATTTTTCTATTTTTTGTAGAGACTGGGTCTCCCCACATTGCCCAGGCTGGTCTTGAACTCCTGCCTTCAAGCGATCCTCCCTCCTTGACCCCCCAGAGTGCTAGGATTACATGCATGGCCTTTAAAACATTCTTTTTTTTTTTTTTTCGCAGCCTAAAACATTTTTGTAAGCATGTAAATAACTGCTAATAAGATACATGGAGCACTTAGCATAGAGCCTGGTATATAGTAATTACTCACTATGACAGCTACTATTATTACTCTTATTGTCAGATGTAATCACAGGTGATCAAGTGGCTGTGATTGTTATTGGAGCTACTCTCCAAGACTAAACTTCCAGGCTGACAGAATATGTAGATATCCTTTGGACCAAGAGCTCAGAGATTCTTTCTTTTCTTTCTTTCTTTCAACTCAACACTGTACTCATAAGGAAGAGTTTAAGATTCCCAAAGCTGGGGGCCTTGACTCACATACTTGTGCCCTACAAGTACCCTAAGTCATACCTTGTACACCATATAGGTGTGGCCAGTGTTGTTGACTAAGCATTTGGCAATGGGGCATATTTTCTTTGATCTTTGCCAAGGACCCCCAAGAAGCAGGGACTACCTTGGTTGTTAACTGGAAGACTTAATGAGTTAAATATTTAAAGTGTGTAGAAGCATACCTTAGCACATAGTAGGTGCTTGACATAGGTTTGAATGATTAAATAAGGCATTGTAGGAACTCTGGAGTTTTTCCAGGATGGCCCCACTCCTTTTTTGCTGCGTGGCTTTAAGCCTCTTGCCCAAGCTCTGCCTGTTGCCTCATATGTTGAAGAAAGATAACAGCCGCCTTGCCTGCCTTGTGGGCTAGCAGGGAGGCCCAAGGAGACGATAAGTGAAAAAGCACTTTGAGAACTATAAATGTTTGGCCTTGTTGCTGCTCCTTGACTAAATTTACAGTCATAGCTGTGTCGTTCATTCATTCAACCAACAAACATTTTTTGAGTGAAAGCAATATCTTATCACTTACCCAGCTTCGTGAATTTGGATAAGTTATTTTACTTCTCTAAGCCTGGACAGCTATAAAATGGAAATAATATTCATTTTGCAGGGTTATTGGGAGAAAGACTAAACAAGGTGCTCTGGGCTTATTGAGGATGGAAACTATGTCTTATTCACTGTTACTGTTATTGGGCCTACTACTTGATAGCTGTTTAGTGACCAAGTTAACAAACATCCCTGATGATGAATGGTGTATGTAAAGTGCCCCTGCACAGTTCCTAATACAGAGTAAAAGCTCATCAAATGCTGGATCTTTCTCTTTCCTCTCACTATGAGACTTGTTCATTCATTGATTCAGCCATTGGTTGCCTTCTGCAGTCAAATTACCAGGCAAGGCCAGACTCTGAGGATGTATGACTCAAATGAAATGTAGATATGCATATTAACTCCTAACCCCAGGATGTCCTCACCTGCCTAGGCTGGACTGCTGAGTGGGAACTCTGACCCACCGGGATCAGTGCTACGGAAACATAAAACCCAGTGTACAACAGGCCTGGCCCCACACTCACCTCTGATTCAGAACAAGAACAACCACCCACTCTCCTGTCTGCTACTCAATGAGGAGAATTTCCCTTTGCTCACAGTGCGCAAATTCAGCTAGAACCC